TTTTTTTGTGACACCAAAAATCCCAAACTTTGCTATTTGTGACACATTTACCCCAATACACTGTAGCCTAGGGTATTTTAGTCTTTTTCCCTTTTTCTATTTTTTTTCTGTTTTTTTTTTTCTTTTTTCCGGCAAGGCTGCCCTCGCCGGCGAGGTCTCCGGCGACCTCGCCGGCGCACGAGGGCTGCCCTCGCCGGCGTTGGGCGAGGGCAGCCCTCGCCTCGCCGGCGTCGGGCGAAGGACCCTCGCCCCGCCCAGGCGAGGGCTGCCCTCGCCGGCGTTGGGCGAGGGCAGCCCTCGCCTCGCCGGCGTCCGGGCGAGGGACCCTCGCCCCGCCCAAGCGAGGTGAAGGCTGCCCTCACCTGGGCGGGGCGAGGGCTGCCCGCCGGCGTCGGGCGAGGGTTTCCCCGCCCGCCCGAGCGAGGGCGACCCTCGCTCGACGCCGGCGAGGGCCGCCCTCGCTCGACGCCGGCGAGGGCCCCCTCGCTCGACGCCGGCGAGGCGGCCCTCGCCGGCGTCGGGCGAGGGTCGCCCCGCCCGGGCGAGCGAGGGCAGCCGTCGCCGACGCCGGCGAGGGGCGAGGGCGTCGGCGAGGGCTGCCCTCGCTCGCCCGAGCGAGGCGACCTCGCCCGACGCCGGCGAGGGCCGCCCTCGCCGGATCTCGGCGAGGGGGCCCTCGCCGGCGTCGAGCGAGGGGGCCTCGCCAGATCCGGCGAGGGCGAGCCTCGCCGGCGTCGAGCGAGGGTCTCCTCGCCGGATCTGGGCGAGGGCCGCCCTCGCTGGGCGGGGCGAGGGAAGCCCTCGCCCGACGCCGGCGGGCAGCCCTCGCCCCGCCCAGGCGAGGGCAGCCTTCGCCTCGCCTGGGCGGGGCGAGGGTCCCTCGCCCGACTCCCGGCGAGGCGAGGGCTGCCCTCGCCCAACGCCGGGCGAGGGCAGCCCTCGCCCGGGCGGGGCGAGGGTCCTTCGCCCGACGCCGGCGAGGCGAGGGCTGCCCTTGCCCAACGCCGGCGAGGGCAGCCCTCGCCTGCGCCGGCGAGGTCGCCGGAGAGGTCGCCGGAGAGCCTTGCCGGAAAAAAGAAAAAAAAAACAGAAAAAATAGAAAAAGGGAAAAAGACTAAAATACCCTAGGCTACAGTACATTGGGGTAAATGTGTCACAAATAGCAAAGTTTGGGGTTTTTGGTGTCACAAAAAAAAGTTTGGGGTAAATGTGTCACAGAGGGCAAAGTTTGGGGTTTTTGGTGGTTTTTTCCCTTTTTTTTTTTTTGAGGTTTTGGGCACATAAACTTTTCTTAAATGCACCTTACCAAAAAAAAAAAACTTTTCTTAAATGCATGTCACTTGCGAGGACATTTGGAAAGAATATATACCTGGAGGACTAGAAAGTTATCTAGGGGAATGCTTCTACATTGTCTTATACAATTGGGATCTTTATTGTGATGCTGACTTAAGTAAAGTTAAGCGCGTGATAAGGACTTGCTTCTCTGACTTTTAACTTTTTTGGCTACAGGTCATCAGTAATATTATCTCGTCCAGAAATATTACAGAGTGGTTGCAGAAACATGCTCTCGAGCAGCTCTCAGAAGTTTCTTCTCATCTGTTCAAGTTTCTGTCACACAAAGCAAAATTGTTAAGAGAGAATACTTTGGTTATTCATTTGATCCTCCAGATATTGGTGACGACCCTGAAGATATCTCAGAAAAGGAAGATATTCCAGCCACATTTTACCCTTGCCATCGAGGGTCTGTTTCACATATATGATGCCATTAAGTTGTGTGATGGCACCCAAGCATTCCCAAGTTCTGAATTTGGTCTCAGGTCTATTCTAATGAATGCACCTCCTCCATCAATTATTGACGTGGTCTGTCTGTCTGTCTCTCTCTCTCTCTATGCAGTCAATTGTCATAGGACAGTTGTGAATATTTTCATTACTCTTTGAATTTCTTGGATAAAGATATTTGAGGTGCGACCGAAAGGATGCACAAGCATCTCAAGTATGCAGTTACAAATTTCTTGGGTGTTTTTCCACATCCTGTAGCTTACTGATGTCTTTTATATCTAGTTAGCTCGACTTAATGTGGGTTTGTCATTGATAGTCTGTGCGATGACATCTCATTTTGATTTGATTTACAGGATGAAGAAAAGCTTTTGAATTTTGTCCTTTGGGCAATCTCTGTTGCCTTGAAAGCAGACTCCACAGAAATTCCTCATCCTGGAGGATCTCATATCAGTTTAACAATCTCCTCGGAGGAAGAAATATGTGAAGATTCTTTGGCATCAAAACTTCTTCGTTGGTTGGTGGCATCTGTAATTCATGGGGAACTCTCTGATAGATCCACATATACGGATGCAAAATATTCAGAAAGATCTGACCTGAAAATGCTGAATTCGTTGTTACAATTTGTCAAAGAAACAAGTAGAGGAAGAAGCCGAAAAACATCTGGAACTGGAAAGGTGTTAGCTGCTGCGATTTTGTACCTTCAACAGCTTCTTGGCACGGATTGCAGAGTGCTTCCATCTGTTGTGTCTGCACTCTGCCTTCTACTATATGATTTTTGCGACATTGCAGGTAGGTTAACCTACTATGTTTAACTGTGCGGGAAATACTGTTTATCAAAATGAATTCCTTATTCTTAGACCGAGCAAGTCTAGCTAAAACACTTGAATGCAATTTATGCAGTTACTGAATCAGATCTCTTGCTCGATGGTACTCCTGTGGCCTCACAACTGTCGAAGATAAGCTGCCCTCTTGAAGCTAATCCTGCTTGGAGATGGTAATTCTTATTTTACCTGACGTCTTGTGGTTTCTGTTCCTCCTAATACATGTCAATCCGGATGGTGATCATACAACCAATATTCCACGTTTTTGAACGAATAGATGTAAAACTGACTGGCGATTAATTCAAGAGTCACGATTACTCAGCAACTTCGATTTCACCTAAATAGATGTCACTTATTCTTCCATGTCATGATCGGTCCTATTTTGTGTACAGGTCGTTTTATCAGCCATGGAAGGACTTGTCGTCGGAGGGGACAGATTTGGAGAGACTGGATGAATATCAAGCATGTCAGACCCTGCTGCTCGTCATCTCAAATACGCTCCGGACGGGCCCTTCGAATTCACTCGCTCTGTCACCTCGGGATGTTGAGAGATGCGGTGTATATGAATGGGAAAGGAGTATCATCGAGAGTAGCTTGTGTACAGATTGAATAGCATGTAAACCCCATAGGCCAATTTTGTCAAATCTTGATTCAGTGTCAGCACATCATCCTCATGAAATCCACAAAGCGAGTCCCTAGAGATGCCTTGATAAGCCTAGTTTAATGTTCTCGACGCCATGCAATTTGCATAACAACCCCCTATGCTTTGACTTTTTGCAACCAAATCACTGGCCTATAGGTTTGAATTTCGGGTTCCGATGATTAAGGCTTTGTTTATTTCGCGAATAATAAACGATTCGAAAATATTTTCTTAAAAAATGATTGCTTGTATTGCTCGAAATAATTAGTCAATGAAAAATGTTTTCATTATCGATGATGATTTATGTCTAAAACATCTTCGTACACAATGAAAATTCTTTTCATTCGATCATTTCCGCAAACAATACAAGTAATTCATTTTTAAAAAATATTTTTCAAATTATTTATTTTTGGCAAAATAAACGGAGCTTTAATGTCATATATTTTTAAATATAGAAAAAATTTGCAACTCTAAAGTGAAATTCAAATGTCCAATGTTGAATATAAGAAAAAATAAATTTAGGGATATTAATAATTAATTAGGAATTAGTTTAATAAGTTAGGGAAAATGACACAAATGATCCTTGAATTTTTGGCAAACTGTGTAACGTGGTCCCTGAATTTTACCTCAATGTGTGATATAGTTTCCGAATTTTTAATTTGTTCAATATGTTTTCTGGACGTTTAGTACAATTTCAATTTAATCTAGGGAAAATCCCAATTAAGGACCTCAAGTGGAGCCTTTTTCTCAGAAGAGGGCCCCAAGTGGACTTAGTGTCAAATAAGGGTTTAAAGTGCCCAATCAGTCTCAAATAAGGACTCGAAGTGCCCAAAAAGTCTCAAATAAGGGCCTGGGTCGCCGGCCGGCGAGAATGTTACTATTCCGGCACCGGAACAGTAAATTTTTTATTTTTTATTTAATTTTTTCCTTTATGTTTTTCCTTTTCTGTTTTTTTTTTCTTTTTCTTTTCCTTTTCTTTTTTTCTTCTCTTCCTCCGCCGGCCATAGCCGGCCGTGAGGTCGCCGGCCTCAGGCGAGGCCGCCCTCTGGGCCGGGCGGAGGTCGGCCTCGCCGCTGTTGGCGAGGGCTCGCCGCAGCGAGGCTCAACCTCGCCCAAACGGGCGAGGTCGAGCACAGCCGGCTTCGGCGAGGGCTCGACCTCGCCGGCCGGCCGGGCAAGGGCTCGGCCCGCCGGCCGCTAAGCGAGGCTCGACCTCGCCGGCGTCGGGCGAGCGGGCGAGTCGAGCCTCGCCCGGCCGGCGGCGAGCCCTCGCCAGATCTCGGCGAGGCTCGACCTCGCCGGCACCGGGCGAGGGCGGTCCTTGCTCGACGCCGGCGAGGGCGGCCTTGCCTGAGGCCGACGACCTCCGCCGGCCCCGGCTATGGCCGGCGGAGGAAGAGAAGAAAAAAAAAGGAAAAGAAAAAAAAAGAAGGAAAAAAATTAAAAGTTACTGTCTGAATGCTTGAATAGTAACATTCTCACGGCGACCCAGCCCTTATTTGAGACTTTTTGGGCATTTCGGGTCCTTATTTGACACTAAGTCCAATTGGGATCCTCTTTTGAAAAAAAGGCCCCACTGTGGGTCCTTAATTAGAATTTTCCCTTTAATCCATGAACTACATGTAAATGTTCAATGTTGTCTTTAGATCACATTGAATAAATAAGTTCATGGACCACATTGCACATTAAAGTAAAATTCGGGAATCACATTGCACGTTAGATTAAAGTTAATGGATCATTTATGTCATTATCCCGTTAAGTCAATGCGAAGAAATTGCGAAATATTCAAAACCCGGACAGAAAAAGGAAAAAAGAAAATCAGGAGCGGGCGTTGACCACGCGACATCGCACGTCGGCACACGCCTGCTCCCCTTTCAACTGCTCAAAACAACCCAAAAAAAATCATTAAAACGAAAATTAAAAAAAAAGAAAAGAAAATAAATTATATAACTATATTAACACTCACTTCAAGGATCTGTTCGTGTTCGTGAATCTGCTGTTCGCTCTCTCTCTTCTTGATCTGTTGAAAAGATCACCGGCGAGGAAGGAAAGAGATAAAAGAGGGGGGAAGAAGATGCACGATTTCTGCTTCACGTTCCCGTATGGCCTCCTCCTGGTGATCGGAGGGCTCATCGGCTTCCTGAGGAAGAAGAGCGTCGCCTCCCTCGCCGGCGGCGCCGGCACCGGCCTCCTCCTCGTCCTCGCCGGCTACTTGAGCCTCAAGGCCTTCGAGAAGAGGAAGAACTCCTACGCCGCGCTCGTTCTCGAGACCGGTGAGCTCTCGTCCTCCTCGGCGCGTCTGCGGCGGTTTTGTTGATGTGTGGAATTCGGATCGTTTTGGAAGCCGTAACCACGTGAAATCTTTTGCTTCCCATTCGGTTTTGGCGGTTGACAAGTAGGTTGACATGTTCGCTTTCGTACGCTTTTGATTTGATCTGTCTGTTTTGGCTTCTGTGATGTGATGCCGCGTTTCGTCGGCGTGTTGTTGGAAGGCCGGTCGAGATCGTCGCGTGAAGGTTGAGTCGTAGGAGCTGAATTGATGAAATGAAGCTACTGAAGTTTTCGATCGATTGGTTTTTAGGTGGTTAAGAACTCGATAGTGAGATTTGCAAGGTGGAGAAGCTGATATCCAATCTAACTGCCGTGCCGTATCTGTTTGTTGTATCGGCGGTTTAGCTGTTGCACTAGTCACTGCTGTTATTAAATTATCTGCATCCATCATTTGATGCCGCCTCGAGTCCGTAAGGATGATCCGTGTATTTTTTGTTTTCTAGGGTTTGCCATTTCTATTTCTCATTCTCTATTTTGTTGCTTATCGACAACAGCAATCTTACTTTTAAGTGGAACACGCTGCATTCTCTAAGTGTTCCTTTTTCTGTGAAATTGGTGATTTCTGGTTTTCTGCAAGCAGTCTCATGTGATGGGGGTAAGAAAAGGATGCCTGATGTGTCCTGATCAGGAATGTTCCCGATGAAGCCGCATTTACTATATCACCAGAGTCGGTTATCCAAAGGGACAAGTAGTTTTCAGGAACTCTGGAAATTTTGTCTGTGAATAGCTTGATGTTGGTGTCAAATGCTTGCATGTTAAGCTGGCAGTATCCAAGGATAGCATTTAGCAAATGGCAAATGTTATTGTAACAACTAGCTAGCTTTCCAGGGATCCTGCTGAAGAAGAGATCATAGCTAGTTCTGAATAACGAACTTTTAGTATGTTTAACAAGATAAAGCTAGTCAATTATGTGTTTCGAATATCTCTGAACTTCTTACTATACATGCATGTAGAAGGGTATAGTCTGAGAGGATGTGTTGAGAATGTCTACAATATGATTGTCATCTCTCTCTTTTTTTGTTTGTGTATAAGTTTTTCATCTGAATAAAGTCATTTAAAATCACACACTCGTGCACATGCACGTGCATGAAAGCAGCGTGTGGATTAAGCTTTTTGTATAGATGTTATAGCTGACTTACTATTGTGTCTTTGACAGTTTGTGCTGCCATGCTTACCTTCGTCATGGGACAGCGCTACCTCCAGACATCTAAGATCATGCCAGCGGGTATTCTTGCTGGGATAAGGTAGCTAGAATTATTTCCTCCGTTGCTAACCATACATGGTTTTACAGAACTCGTGTATCATCTGAATAAGCATGTTGTGTTTTCTCTCTCACACCATGTAGTTGCAACACCAGTTGCTCACAAATTTTCTGATCTAATGTCGGTAAAAGAGTTGTTAGGACATAAGAGTGACTTTCATCTAAATATGAGGCTAATTGCTAGTGCTAGTTTACAACTAATGACTATTCTTAAAGGAGGGTTTTTTTATTGAAAAGATGAATTGTGGAGATCTGCTCTGCCTATAATATAACTTAATATGGATAATTACTGATCTTCAGATGCATAGGACCAAGAATATCCATTCTGCTGATCATTTTAAACAAGAAGAAGAATTCTCCTCTATTTTTTTCTTCATTTGTATGGTTCTCCTTAGAGAAAATGAAATACTTGGATTAATCTGTTCTGATTCACATGGTCTTGACCTTCAGAGAACATCCTTTGCTTCTCCTATTAAATCTTGATTCATAGTCGTAGTTGTCTGCCTTATCGAGGAAGTTCATACATTCGGTTGGTATTCTCATCATCAGACTAATGGGTGGACAGTTATTGCGGCAGTCAGTAATTTTTAAACATCAAAACTATAGTCTTTAAGAAGTGAAAACAGAAAAACAAATTATGATGAAAGATACGTCTAGTATCTATCTCTGGTTGTGTGTATGTGCGTGCCCTAATGAACCATGCATCCATCCCACCAATTTAAGCTTGTAGATAGGTTGATAGAAGTTGAAAATAACTACCCTGAAGGAATTGGTAATTCATTTGAAGTTTGAAAGTCGTATCTTATTTTGAACATTGCTTATGAGGAGTGGGCCAAAATAGATAAGATATTACGTTTTTGTTTAACCAAAAGAACAATAGTTACTTTGTAACTTGTTTAAAGCTTAATCCTCTTACGGTTTTGTACTTCTATACAGAGATGCAAGTGTTTCTTAATGTCGAGGATACAATTAGGAAGGCTATCATTGTCATTTTAGGGGAAAAAGGAGTTCCATATTGGAGTCAATCATGGCTTAATAGTAATATACAGTATGAAGTGGAGTCCATGGGTGGACCGGACAAGGTGTTTGCTGCAATTTTCTGTAATTATATACTATAATCTAGGAAATTTCATGTGAAACTTGTTTTCTTGAATTATGTACTATATTCTATGTACTTTTATATAAAATTTTTGAATCTCACCTCCCTGAATTAAGATTTTACAGACTCTTTTAGCTCATTTTGCATTCACCATTGACGGAGTTAACGACTGAATTGATTCATGCAATTTTTACTTGGTGTATATTACCTAGCGTTTAAGAACTGGCCGGCCAGCTCATTCAGTTGAATCAGAAATTGGATACCTGTTCCGTATTTTTTTTAAGTTGCAATCATGCTGCTCTAAACCAAGGATTCAGTCTGCCCGTTTTATATTTTATGTAGCTTTATATCTGCTAAAACCTACATTCCTCTACTTCATGTATTCTCATTTGCCTAGTAATCACTCTGAGCTAATGCACTTTCCAATTCTCCTCTATTCAGTGCTCTGATGACCGGGTTTTATATCTACAAAATTGCGACCGGAGGCAACCATTTCGCAGCCAAGGCTGAATGATGGCATCTTGGAAAATCGAAGATCTTGACTAAAAAATTACCAGGTGTAACTACTGTTGTTTTGTGTAGGTGCAAAAGAGATCTTTCCTTTCTGACGAATCCTGGTTTACATCCACGGCATTAGCCGTTAGTGTTTCTCACTCAATTTTAAGGACTCATTTTAGCCCTCTATTGTACACGGAATGAAAGTGCGAAAAACATGTTTGGCTTGAAGTGTGATCATGTCAAGATATAGATCCAGAAGAGAGTCCGCTTTTTGCAATGTGCATTTGAATGGAAATCTCCGTGCTCTAGCCTCGAATGTGATGTCAATGCTAGTTTAGGATTAGAGTTGGATACCCCCATTTATTACCTGCCTGGAAAAAGAAAAATACGAGGGAGAAACACGTAAGCAATTTTGCGGCACATAATAGAACCCAATTCTATGAATAGCCTGCTAACTTCGTCCGTTGTAAACTTTTTCAGCGTCAAATGTGTCTTTACATGTCAGAATCAGAATAAATAAGGACATTATTCTTAAGAAAAGCTACAATCGACGCCCAATATACAGCATGTCGTACAAGACTTCCATCCACTGACCAACAATTTTCACTCCAAGACTGTCTAATAACATATTTACAAATATCACAGTACCTATCCACTGGCACATGAACGATTCCTGTGAGGAAACAAAGAATACATCTGGCAGAATCAATCTGAAAAATACAGGATATAACATGCCGTGCGAAATCCGAACTTACGTTAGCAATCTTTTGGCCTGAGGTATTTTGGAGGCAGAGAAGGACACCTCTCGTTCATTTGGGGGTACGGGTCCATAGTATTGTATCCCGGTAGTTCCATCCGATACTTCCCTCGGATCTGACAAAACGGGAGCTTGACATTGTCGGCATCGTTGCACCATTTTGGCAAACGGCTCGAATTATTCTCGAAGAACCGCAGCGTATATGCATCTTTTATCTGCAGGTGGGAAAGATGAAATGAGGACCTTGAACTACAAAAACAGATGACTGGAAGAATCTAAAAGAGATTTCTCTAATCAAATGCATAATTCATAGGGCTGATGACAATTAATTAGTTTCTCATTTATCCCAACGTAAAATGACTCGATTCACTATTCTTCTCCTCAAGAAAGAAAAGGAATCCACATCATGAAAGAACCTAACCCGGTACTCGATATGAAATGACAATCCACTCAAACAAGATGGTGCATATCGTGCATGGTGGCCTCACCGTGAATTCCGTCACTTGAATAGAGTCAGCAATTGAACTGAACAATCCTGCCTCCTTGTACATTTCAAGAACAAAGGCAATGCAAGAGGTTGACTTTCCATCACTGTACAGCCAATCATCCCGCTCTGGGATGGTAAGCAGTTCATCGAAGGATGAGCCACGCTTTTCAGTCTCCACTAAAATATCTGGAAGATCCAGCCCCTGCATGAAGTCAACAATTATTTCTGGAAAAGGAAAAGGATATGCTGAATTTAACATAACCATTTTATCCACCTATCAGTTGTCAAGGTATGTCTATGAAACATAGGCATATCCTCAACCTGCCTTTTTTCTGCGATTCATCTGGTACATCTCATCAAACATACAGAGAAGTACCAGAAATTGTTGCCTTCAATGATCTGACATGTATATTAGAGTCGTTATTCTTCTAAAAGTTTAAACCATAAAAAAATGAGTTCTTACCCATTCACACCTACAAGTTCCCTCCAGTCCCTAATTTTCACTACTTATTCTAGGACACAAAACTCGACATTATTCTTGATGAAGAAAATTAAAACCAAGGCAAATCAGTTACTTGAAGAAAAATTGGACACTGGAGTATTTTCACTAAGCTGAATCGTGTATAAATATTTAATGGTGCAACACACCGTTTCATTGCAAAGAAAAACAAAAAAAGAAAAAAGAAAAAGAAATAAATGAAGTACATCGGAATCCCTAAATGATCCACTCTCTCTAGGATCTCAATCTAAGCTAACCCATTGGGTCATTAGAGTCCCAATAAACCAGATGGCAAAGTCCCAAGAAAGGAAAAGGATTTTAGAAAGAAGGGGCATACCGTTAAAAAAAAAATTACTCAAACTCATCCATGAGGTATATCCTAGTGAACTGTTCAAGTCTACATAAAGATCCTAAAGAGTGATAATATTAAACACTATCTTTCTAAACCAAAGATCCTCAGCAGAGAAACTGTTAATGATACCTCAGTTCCAAGTCGCATGTTCAAGGCTTCATTCCACAAGTTGGTAGCATAAGAAGGTCTTAACTGATTCCACACTGTCATAACAGATGCAACCTGCACAGTCATTGCACTAGTTAAACCAGCGGAAAAGGAGACCCTTTTAAAACGCATAACATGTCACAATATGTAAATCTGAACTTCTAGTTAGATCCCTTAAAGGAAAAAGAATCTGCATTTTCAACTGAGCATAGACCTAAAGGTAACCTATAGATAACCCTATCAGCGATTATTAATTTATTCGGATAAACCATGGATACGGAAATAAAGTTAAATAAAGATACCAGATGAGCATCCAAGGGAGGTGGATAGTTCCCGTCAATTGTGTCTATCCAGCTAAATATCATGTTGTGATAACCATACGGTTTTCCTTCCATACTCCGAGCATATTCCCATGCAGCAGATTCATTGAACTTGGCCCGCACGTCAGGATGCAAGGGAAGTAATGCAATATGGGGATTGGAGTTATCCTTATTCAGCTCAAACTCCCACCATTCATCCCAAGGTAACATCGCAATAATATCTTCGCCCTAGAAGGAGAAAAAACAGAGGAAAAGCACTTCAAAGTCGTCATAATTGGCGAAACTTTAAAATACCATGAGCTTTTATGAATCATGTCTCAGACAACTATAAATGGTAAACTGAAAAGCTACCGTTCATCGATGCACAAGTTTTTTCTGAAATCTATCTTCAACGGATGCACTCTCATAAGGAGCAGCATATCCACTCAGATTCACTCCTCATCAGCATAGCATCTTATATTGACACCAAATTGCAGCCAATTATGAGGAAAACGGGAATCATTTCTAGCTCTGTTATATTTTAGCATGGAACAACATTCATTTAAGGCAGGAAGCAGAAAAGACAAATGGATGTCTGTCCAGAAAACTCGAAAAAAGTCTCTTGTGCTTAAAAACTGAGCCTCCATTGAACAGGCTAAGAAGAAAAGACCAGCACAGCAAGATGGGAAGGTAGAAACACAAAGTAAATTAATGGATGCAGCAATGCAAAATACATCTGCAAATTAGGCTAAGATTCTGCAACCACTTTTCCTCCTTTGTATTACAATGATCACTCAGGTCAAGTAGGTGCTGCTTATGACTTTTCTCGTCCCCTGAATAACTGGGTAAGGCAGCTGATGAGGGATTTGGTATGAACTATGAAATTCTCTAAGCCGAATAAAAAATCCATTGCATCATATTAAGGAAGGCATGTTCCCATTAGGATGGGTAAAGGACGGATCAGAAACAATACTTAATCTATAGAAGCACCTTAGATACCAGGCCGGCCAATTTTATATCCCACCTGTTCATTCTCATGTCCCGATTCGCCAACCCACAGCTTTCCTTCAGAGTCCCTCAAGCAAACTGCAGAATGACCAGCATAAGAACCACTGACCCACTTCTCCAATGTCTCAAAACCACCCCACCGCCCACGGATTTTTGATATTGCAAGGAAATCTCCAGAATGAATATCATCTGTACTTATGTTTGTTACCCAGGGTTTGGGGCGTTCCTCAAAGGAAGCACCCATGTGCTTCTCGAGAAAGGCAATGTTAGAGTTTTCACCCCAGCCAGTATTTGTAAACAAAGGGAAGACATCCCACAGAGCTTGAAGTGTTCCCAGCATCCCAGCTTCCATGAGGAAGATAGAAACTCCTTTGCTTTTTACCTGATTTCAGATGAAAAGAGGACCATGTTTACATCCAGATAACAATGACTACAAAACATGACAAGAAAGATGTTAAGTCCCTTACTAAAGAGAGTACACACGTACGTATTCATACTCTGCTTTTCCTTCCCAAGCCTTAAACTCAAGGGTATGCTCCCGAGACAAGAAATAGAAATCCCATGTGACACGGTATGGAGTTGCAAAGACATAAAGATCCATGCAAGTCCAACTGTGAGCCTTGTTGACCTGAATTGGTGCCCATCAAATTCATAGTTAGTTCACCACTTAAAAGCACGACACAGATAATAACAGGTTATATGCGGCACCATTTAAAATCATGGATGGAGCAACAACCATATATCCCGAGGAAATTGACATAATTTGCCTTCCCATAATTAACAAAATTGAACAATTTGTATGGATAATGATACTAGGAAAAGAATCAAATCAACCATCAAGTAACACAACGTTCAGAGGCTCGTAAGGATACATCAAAAGGGAAGAAAAATAAACAAGCAGCAAACGCCCACAAGAGAAAAGCCTCGCTCTCCAATAACTCCTTGAACTGAGAAAACAGGCAAATGGAAAAATTACATGCTTCTCCCCAACCCACTATATTGAAATGCACAGCCAATTGCAACGACGCTACTCCATATCAGAGGTATAGTCGAGCTGAGTTGAGTTGATACAGTTATTCATCCAAACTCGTTTTGACAACCAAAAGTCGAGGTTGGATACAGGACTCAACTGATAAAGTAGTCTCTATACTGCTATGCTAGAGCTTGGATGGCTATACAAAAGCAATTCATAAACCCAAAGACCTCAATCACATAGCGAACCAATCAAGTAAAGCATCACGAAATCGAATTCTACTCCACACCGGTTCGATACTTATCAAGGAGTCGAGTCGAAACTAATAAAACTCAACCGGAGCTCGAGTGTCTCGCGATAACTTCGATTCATTCGCAACCTAACTCGGTCATCGTCGCTAACTATCTACCAATCCCAACGCTCCAAAATCTTAACAACGACCAAAGACACGCTCGCGGAATCAACAGCAAACCAATCAGACCTTGATGTGAAGCGTGCCCCCGCCGAACTCGCTCTCGCTCTTGTTGTGGAACTCCATCCAAGCCGCGGAATCGTAGAAGCAAGCGCCCTTCCAGTTCAGGCTGGCGTTGGAGGACGGCGAGGCCGAGCCGACGAAGGTCGGCAGGAGATCCAGGGGGCCGCGGAGGCGGTTGAGGATCGGCCACGAGAGCTGCCGCGGCAGCAGAGGGAGCGCGTCCACGGGGTGAAACGGCAATCTCGCGGACAGAGAGAGGGGCGCGACGGCAGCGAAGAAGGCGAGCAGCAACAGCGCGATCGGTCGCGAAGAAGGCGAAGAAGCCATTGCCATCAGAGAGAGAGAGAGAGAGAGAGAGAGAGAGATTCTGTATGCGGGCGTGTGTGTCAATGCATTTGGATGAGAAGAAATGGGGAGGAGTGTGGTTAATGGAGATGACGACGATTCCTGAGATTTGGCGGCTTCGAGAGCGATCGCTGATGATTATCGCTTGAACGCATGGAATTGAGCTTCCGTTGGGGAAAGGCGGAAAGAGTGGCCGAGATGTTTCGCACACACAGGCAAGACGGACTCTTCCCGAACCGGTTCGTTCTTAGTTGTAACCCGGCCTGATCCAAGAACCGATAAGATGATACTTTACTTTGCCCTTGAAGTTTCCTTTTCCATCCCCTCCTACATCACTCCGAAAAAAGAATTTATCTCAATTTTCACCCCTCGAAATTTACTGCTTCGCTGCCAGTGGAAGGGAAAAATTGTGCAATGCCCCAACTCGGGCGGGCAAGTTATGAAAGTTTCCATGAAATTCCACAAATTATGTTATATATTGATTAGAAATATGTGAAATAGAATATAGTACGCGTGCGTCTAATGGAGATGATGTGTTGATAGAATTCAATTTGCGCGCGGAAGATCCAACACCTTTAAAGGCACGCAAATGGCACGATGTTGGAGTAGAACTAGGATCTCTTCCTTGTCCTTTGAGTTGGAAGTTGTGGTTGAGAGAGGAACCGGTAGGCCCGGGTACGGACAGATTCACAAAAATTTAATCATACAAGGGCAAACCAATTATGCTAAAAATCGTCGTGAGATATAACGACCGCGTTCAGGAGTAGAATTGCTGACAGAAAAAATGTCGGAAGAATAACTAGTTACTCCAAACCTCGGAGGCACGCACTGTCCGAGTGATTGTAATAGAATCAGTATTCAACTTTATCTCCAGATAGAAACCAAATTGTATGTATCTACACTGACATGTGAAGTTACAGACAAAGCTATAAGAGCTGCAGCTGAAAACAGAATCTATTTTGTCCCGCACACTGACTTATTTGAACACTCTTTTCTCATCGCTTTGAATCTCGAAAGGAACATATTCTCGACCACCATCTTAAATTAAAGCTGAAAAAGAGTGGAAAAGGGATCCGCTCGTTTTAGGCGTCATTTCCTCCCAACGAGGAGATGGATGATACGCAAGGGAACCAGTACCTACGTCTGCCGTCTCTGTGTCCGTCATCAATCATAGCAAAACCTTCCTGCGCCCAGCAAGATGATGGTTTATAAATCACCAAAAACCTTCCGCAGTAAAAAAGGACAGAAACCTGCTCAAATGGCCACATAAACTTACTTTTAACAAAGTTTCGAGTGCATCAATGGCACGGCCAGAGGTCCAGGACAGCCGTCTCTCTAGCTCATCAATGGTCACGAAACCTTGAGCCTAACATCATAGCCAATTGAGAGTTTTTCATCAAGATTCCTCAAATGAAGGTACTGGTAAAGAGAGCTAGAACAGAAAGGACCAATGCAACTATTTTTTAAGAGATATTGGACAACCACATCTGAGATCAAATAAAAGGGAATAAAAGAGTTCCAATTTTGAGGTGAGAGATCCGCAAGAGAAAGTACCTGGGCGAGTTCAATGATTTCATTATGATCTTTGTTCAACTCAGTTGGAACTGATCGAACAAGCTTTTTCTTCCCAACAGATATTACCTCAAAACCACTACCCAAAACCTGGAAATGAAAAATGCCATTTATGCAACTAAGTTTACGGTGTAAACTAGTTATAAAAAGATGTTAACACAAGAGCAAACATATGGGGACATATATGGAGAAGTAAGTCACTTCACTCGAACCATTATGCAACAAAGGGAGCTCATAGATGAACCCCAATCCGGATTGATCAAACACTCAACAAGCCAGACTTTCACAACAGATGATAGGCACAAAATGCAGTATTTCCACCAGGTACTGTTTTGATGTGTGGAAACACTTGATACGCATACACATCATAGATCAGTAGGCAATCATTGGTAGCCATCCCAATAAAGAATATACAATAGATTTAATAGAGATGGACAGAATGTCAAAAAGCCGCAGTGAGGTAAAATTTTCCATCCTTATAGTTTCCTGTATCAAATATTTAAATCTAACACTACCAAGAGACACACGACTGCTGTGTCTTCCTAAAATTACTTGAATGGTGAAACACAATATCAGATGACGATGTTAGTCTTAAGGTAGAGAATGAAAAGATAGGATCAGAAGTTGCAGAGGAAAGTTATTACGCAATACCTTCAGCTTACTTATGGCACGTAAGCAATCATCCTCAGAAACAGCTTCCCTCGAGCCTTTTCTTTTCTGACGAAGAAGACTGCAGAGCTCCTGCAGATTGATCAAACCTCCATTTTGGGCTCTCGTTGCCAAGCAAATCTCAACAATTTGCACCCCTGACTAATTGAGTAGCCTATTCAGCATAAGAAAATGTTTGACAAGCTGACACATATGCTTCAACCAACTAGTATTATAAGGAGAAAGATGACTATTTGAATCAAAGGGGAAATTTGCTCTTATCCTTCAAAGAAGAAAAAACAGAGCCTAATTGCAGGTATATTTAGATGTGCCCGCTGCCCTACTCTAAACCTGAAATGTTTCATCCAACTTTAACATAGAAAAGTTTGCCCTAACCAAATGAAACCTCTATATTACTGATGTAGATTATTTGAAAACCTACGGAGACAGATCACCATTCACCACCTATCATTGAAAAACATTTGATATATATTATGGCCATCCATTTTTTTCCCCAAAGCAAGACAATTAACATTCACATAGGCAGAGGACGAGAGGATATCCCTTTTACTTTTTTTCTTTCTTTTTAAGTTTTTGATGTCCACCAACGTGCACTTCAACCTATATTTGGCATGTTTCAGAACCTATGGCGACAAAAGCTACAACTGAAGCACTACGATGATGAAACTACCAACCGATTTCATAATAGAAGTCACCGATCCCCAACAGCTCAGCCCAAAAACCTTTGTTCGATGCTAAAGGATCAACCCCGACTTTCGCGCACATCTCGTGGAACTGCGACCTGAACGCGGGATTCTTGCGAATGTCATTCTGCACATCATTAGCGAAGCTTGATCATCATTCCCCCATAATCTATTCAATTGCTAGCAAGCAATGAACAGAAATATCTAAACATGAAGCGAAACCATCATTCGAAAGCACGCCTCGTTGAGCACTCGCGTCTCTATCAACGCAGTACAAGACTTGTGCCCAGAAACACCAATCACCGGCTTCTAATACGAAAAAAGGAGCCGCGAACTACATTTGTAGACAGAGAAAACAAAAGGTGTGGTGTCTATTATCGCTAGTACAGAAGCAATGGCGATTAATTACATATGATTCAAGATGGCCATTACAAAGCGCAAGCGCTAAACATGTGCACATCAGGGCAAACTCAATTAGGCAATAGGCCTGCCTTCAACTGCACAGCGTTCCGAACACAAAATTCTCAAACGCCATCACCGCATTGGCAGCCTATTCCATCCGAAAAAAGTATTCAACCGACTAGCATAATCTCACGCCACCAAAATTTCTACATTCCAGTCAAACTGTAAAATCCCACCGCCTCAAAAAATGGCCAACGAAGATCGGAAAAAATCGGGGATACGAGCTTTTGCTCGAGCGCGGATGACGCAGGTAAGGAAGCGGACCTTGTGCTTGCGAGCGAAGTCTTCGAGCTGGGAGCGGAAGGTAGCGAGCTGCTCCTTCATGAGATCGGTCCGGATCTTCGCCACATTCTCTCCGAGCAACCGGTACTGATCCTGCTCGCACGTAACGAAGAAGACGATGAGGGGTCAATTTTGATCGAGAAAGGAACGGTTCGAGGCGATAGATTCAGCTACGGCGAGCGACGAAACACGTGAGGATAGAAAGCGAAACGAACCCTAGCAGCTGCCGCTGTCTGCAGGCCTCCGATTCCGGGTCGTCTTCTCATCCTCTCTCTTTCTCTCTGTGTGTTCAAAGTTCGGGCGAATGTATTTGGAGTGATCAAAAGGGAAGAGATGCATGTTTTGGATGAACGACCGGAAGATAAGATTTATAAATAAATAGAAACGATGAAGGTCAACAAAAATCAGAGTGGCGCAGCGGAAGCGTGGTGGGCCCATAACCCACAGGTCCCAGGATCGAAACCTGGCTCTGATAGAGCAGAGATTGGCTTCTATCCACTCCTTTTCTTTTAAATTTTTTTTTTCTGTATGATCTTTCTTGTTTCCCTTTTTTATTTTTATATTATATATTTTTAACAAAAAAAAATTGACTTCGTTTTCCAATGTGAAGATTCTGAGTTTAGGCTAGATCGCGATTTCAAATTTTTAACGTATGCTTCATTTAGGGATTGCAAAAGCATTAGAAAAAGCGTTCTAAACTATAACAATTACGAGACAATAGTATAGCACGAGGAAAATTGGGATTTGGTGAAAAATGAAAAGTCGAAAAGCCATCATTTGCATGGCCAAAACAAAAGAAGGGAAAAAATATGCCAGAATTTGATGCTTAAGGCATTCAGCATCCCCATCACTGAGAGTGATTTCTTAGCAAAAGGCTAATAAAAAGAAACTACCGCATGGCTCCGAGGGGCCACCTCCAATGGCTTGCCACCACCGCGAGCTTGGCCTCGAGCATCGTTTGCAAGCTCAGCGCCTCCCACGAGGGAGCACGCCACAAACAGAGACAGGGGCGCAGGGAGAGAGGCAGCAACGTTAGGGTCGGGCTGCCGCGGTGAGTTGCATGTGAAGAGGGAGAAAAAGACGGGTTCACAATGGCTGTGGCTGCTGCTTGAGAAGCAGCTAATTTAACTCCATCACGTAAATTGGGGATACTGGGGATGCAATTTCCGCATATAATCACACAAACTCACTGAATTTCGAAAGCATGTGTTCAAGGGAAGCCCAAGGAAATTTTCCATTCCATAGAAAAAAAAGTACAAGAATATCTACTTCTATGACATATCTACCGCAGTGGACTTGTATATTAAAAAATCTACCTGTAAACTGCTATACAGGAGAGAGAGGTAAAGGAAAAATGTTTTCTCCTGATGTATCCTAAACTCTTCTCTGCAACTCTGTTGAAAGTATAATCTCCTTCTAAGCTGATGTCCCTGTGGCGTCTTTCGGTATCAAGAATAGCAAAGCAACTGGAACGAATATGCAGACGACTTGTATAGCAATTCCTAGAAGGAG